TTTCAGAAAAGGTTTGTGATAAAATATTTAAATTAAAATTTTAACACACATTATTTTACTCAAACAGTATAACATTGTCTTAAATTTTCGTGACGTCAAAAAAAAGGGTCTCGCATGACTTGTATAAAAATAGAATTTTAGCATGATGGTGGGTAAGACGTACGAAAGGCATTTGGTTTAAATATAACGTTAATTAACTTAGAATCGACTGATTAATCCCCTGTAAGACTATTTAAGGAGATAAAGTGTGTCATGAGATATGCGTAAAGATTTATTTGGTTCTTATCTAACTTTTTATTATGGGGTGGAGATTGAGAGGGTTTTATTGTAAGTGGATTATTTGAGTTGGTTCTATAATCAACTTAGTGAGTAACTATCCTCCCCACAACTGGTAGTGGAGCTCAGGACATTGTGTGGGTTAAAGAACTTGAGCTGTAAAACAGTTAAAAAGTTCTGATTTTTCTATTTTGGAGTTTTGGGATTATCTCCATAGTACCTTGGGGTGTTATTTTTTTTATAGAATATTCCTGTATGAGAGTAACTTTTAATTATTTTTAAGTTTGTGTAATTTATATTTGTGCCTCATGTTTTTGTTCATTTATAAACTAAAATAACTGATCACATGAGAAATAGTAGAAGTTATTAAAACAGAATTGTTAATAAAAAGTGTTAATCACGGATGTTGTTGAGACTATATATAGTCATGGACCCAAATATTTTTTCCTTTAAGGAAATCCTTAAACTGTTTTCAGTTTGTTTTATCAATTTGTACATATTCATGTTTCACTATTTGCCAAGTCTCTTGTACAAATTTAAATTTTTAGAATCCCAGATACCCCAAAACCTTGTAACAAAAACATGGCTATTGTTTTAAGATTGGGTACAGCTTGGTTGAATGGAAATAATATGTTTGTATATCGAGACAGATTTATGTATTTCTTTGAGAATGGATGTCAAAACAAGGAACTATTTTATTAAAGTCAGTCTGAAGAAAAAGAATCCATTGTATCAGACAAAGGCCAATAGGTTTGCAGGAATGTATTCCAACTCGGGAAAAATCTGAAGACACAAAGACTGTCCAGATCGGACACTACAGGAGGTTAAGGGCAGTTTAATATGCTTCAGTGAATACTTAGTAAATTTGCTAAGACTTAAGAGATGTATGTATACTTGTATTACAACTAGATTCTGAATGTATTTACTAGGACAAGTTATACATCAATAGTTGTCTATAGTGGATGTTGTGATGTCCACTATAGACAGAATTAATGTACAATATGTTCTAGTTTTAATATGTTGTGATGTATTAAAACTAGAACATATTGTACATTAATTCTGTCTATAGTGGATGTTGTGATGTTTAAGGCATATAACAGTAAAACTTTTTACATAATCAAATACACCATTAAATTAGGAGCATTAATTGTGTTAAAAATCCAAAAATAAACATATTAACATTTTTAAATTGAATATGTTCATAACATCACAAAATGTTGGTGAGATTGAAAGCTTTGAGAACAGGATCCAAATAATCACAAAATCTGACCTACATTTGCTGCTGGACATTCTTCCAAGATCAGTAAAAGTGTGATAAAAACTGTTCTGTAACATAATCTCTGTCCTTCGTGATTTGGATAAAACAACAAGATCCGAGTATCAATACGATTTATTTTTTAGAAAGTTTCCAAATTTGGCCACAATTCATACTGTTTATAGGATTACAGGATACAGATTAGTTGATAGATTAATTAATTAATTAAACCTTGCTTTTAATATTAGTTGTTCTTTAGAAACCACTGAAATAATATTAAATAAATATTCAAAGTAGAACTGAAAGTTAAGCATTATTATGTTAATACATTGGTAATAGAATTGATTTTTTTCATATTTAGAAATAATCAATATATTTTTGCTACTTTAATTGTATAGAGCCAGTCTGAATAAATGTTTTGAAAATGTAACTTATCAGTATTATGATACCGCAGCTGTGAAGTTTAACAACAGTTCAGCCTCAGTTTGTCCACGAGTTGATTCTTGTTATTGTAGAAGAGGAACATTACTATTAGGATTGATTGTGCAACAAGTTGATAATACTTTAATAAGATATTTGTGTTTTGAAAGTATACTTTATTTTCGTGTAAGCAAATCACATTATAATAAATTTGTTAATAAAACCATCTAAGTTGTTGTACTGAAATTCTGAGAATTCTATAAAATATGAAAGGTTCTTGTTTGAAGTCAAGCACAAAACTACTCAATGGGCTATCTGTGCTCTACCCACCATGTAAGGCTTAGTATCAGTGTAGGCACAGTATAGAAAGATTTTATCACTATTGGTTCCGAGACTTGTAGCACAATGCCATGAACATACTTTAAAGTGGGATATTAACCATGCGAGATTTGGAATTACGAACAACATTGAAGAAATTTTAAAATGTGTGTGTATAAATAAATGGGGCAGTGTCAAATTTCTTACTATCTGTCAGTTGTTCTTTCAGAAAGATGCATGATATTTCTAGTAATTTTCTTTATTGTGCATTGAAGATTTATAGATAATTTGTTATCACAAACATAACATCAGTACAAAGATAAAGTAAGAACAGCCCAACATTTAACATGCTACTATAACATCAGTACAAAAATAAAGTGAGAACAGCCCAACATTTAACATGCTACTATAACATCAGTACAAAAATAAAGTAAGAACAGCCCAACCTTTAACATGCTACTATAACATCAGTACAAAAATAAAGTGAGAACAGCCCAACATTTAACATCAGTAGAAAAATA